CGCTCCTGCTGCGCGCGCTATGAACGTAGCTTTACTACTTCCTGTTTCTGGTGACTTCATTTAAAAAGGAATTTAGTTACTATGATGATCAAGTTACTGTAAAAACTGACTTTAGCTTGTTTCAAATTACAGAAAGAAACCAGAAACTCTGCTAGCTTGATGCTAAGCAGATAAATTAGCCTGTATGCTAGCTGAAATTAATCCCAGCATCTTTTACTTTTCAGTCTAAAACTATTAAACTCAAAGTGTGTTTTAAAAAAATAACAAAAAAAGTAAAGCAGTTCTTTATTTTCTTAGCGCGCATCAGACCCACTTTACCACCGCGCAGCTAGAGCAGCTAAGATGCTTCAGCCGCGCATCAGAACTAATCCAAAAGCATCAGAAATGAAGCAGGACGCGTGATTTAGCTGCTCCATTAGAAGATTTTTCCATTTTTTAACCAAATGTTCTTCAACTTTTCTTTCCCTGAAACCCTGTAGCATAAAACCAATGAAGCTTCCCAGATGCTAGCTGTGTGGCGAGGCGATCTTACCCTGCGAGTTCCCAGGGCCGTTCATCACGCCCGCGTTGGTCTTTAGCGTGTGCTGTTGCGCATATGAACGAGCGAAATGGGCCAGCGGGCAAATGACGTTATGATCGCCCACGATGTCGTCCATGGCGTCTCGGTTCTTCACGCCGTTGTTCTCGTCCATCCAGTCGGTGTATTGCAGCACCACGGCCTCCAGGCCGATGTCGTTAGCATGTGGGACGCTCAGTCTCACTCCTGGAATAAACAAACAAAAAAAAACTGAGATAAAAACAGATTCCAACAATCGGAAGAAATTCATCTTTTAGTTTTTGGTTTCAATGAGCCACATTATTTTTTTTTTCATGTTGCAAAATGTCCGGAAAAGTGTTTTTTATTTTACATCTCTTATTTATAGTCCAGTTCAAACTTTAATTAATACAGTAATGTTATTTCAATATGTTAGAGAAGACCAGGACGGAAAAACACGGCATTAAGGGAAGAACTTCCGGAAAATTAGCACGATAGGAATTTATTGTTCCATCGTCTTATGGGGTCCCCCAGGGCACCATTTAAGGGCCTTTGCTTTTTTCCTCTGTACTTCCTTCCTCTAGGTTCTATTTTCAGACAACATGGCCTCTCATTGTTCTCTAATTTGCTATCTGTGTGCATAAAGGTCTTTTTTTCCCTCCAATAGTCCCCGTGTTTCTGTTTTTTGGCGACATTAGTGTGCAGTGATTTGCGTTCCTTGCGTTCCACGCTGCAGGTCAGGAGAATTTCCTTCCTATGAACAGACGTCCAACAGAAGTGATTCACTGAGAAACTTTGCTTGGAGCCAACATGGTAAAAAGCGAGACACATATTTGGGACTTAATCCTCTCTGAGGGTTTAACCTTTTCCAAGGTGTCTTGATCTGATGTCGTCCGATCTGACCACCTATTTCTGAAAGCATGACATCCAACGGCCCGATTAGCTAAAGAGACGTCGTAGAAAAACGCAAATCTAAAGGGCTGGTTATCCTCCCGCAGCAGTGTGTCACCGGTTTGACGCAGATATGTTTGTTTAACGCCACAACGCCAGAGGGCCAATCAGGAACTAGCTAGGATTGATGGTGTCGTGTTTCGGTTTGACGAGCTTGTTCGGCGTCTAGAACCCCTCATCCAACGCCAGACGACACACAGTTCCCCCGTGAGCGTTCCCCAAAGACCGGCCATGGCGCTGCGTGTTTTGGCTTTGAGTGCAAACCAACAGACCGTCGCTCAGAGCTACAAACTAGCGTCCTGCACGGTGTCTGGGATAGAGTCCGAGGTGAGCCAGGCGCTGTGAGCGGAGCTACTGCCAGAGTTTCTGCCATTAGGGACCAAACAGGAAATACGCATAGAGTAGAACGGATGTAGAATTAACCAATCAGAGGCCTCCTGTCTGCGGTCACCTACAGGTTTGGAGAGGTGCATCAGAGTGTCTGCAGGAGGGGGCGGGGCATATCTGCATTAACGGCGACACCCACGCAGACGACCTGGTTTCTGAGTATAAACCAGGCTTAGGAACGGTGGACCCTTTGAGCTGCTAGCAAACCCGTCGTTGTCTTCTGCGTATCTTTAACCAGGCTGTGGGAGGCAGCGGTAACAGCGCGGCGTAGCATCCTGAGATCACTAACCTCTAAAGGAGGAAGGGTTTGTTTTTCTAACAGAATTAGACATTATACCTCTAAAAATGGCTGCCCTGGCGAGTAATGCTGGCCCCGCCCACTTTGGGAACATTCATTTTAATGCTACAGTACTGCAGAGATAAGTAAAGTGATGGAGTTTTACATTTGGCTCCTTTTACTAAAATGTAAAAACAGACGATCTTTACTTTCATTGGAGTTCTCCAGGAGACATTTCAGCTGATCCAGTCTTCCATCTTTGTAGCCGAGTAACCCCCAGATTCCACATCCTCCGCTCCGCCCCGCTCCGTTCACGTACGTCGTGTTAAACAATGAGAGCTGTTCCACAATCACCACCATCTTACGCACGTCACCGTCCACGTACTTCTTCTCAATTAAATTCTTCACCGTCAAAATACGGAGCCGAGCCATTTTTAGCTCTAAGCGTTATGGAGCATAATGCTTCTATATTCCTGATAAACTAAGAGCGTTTAATTAAATGATTGGATGGAAACTATTGGTACTTCAACAAGAAACCAAGAAGCAGATTTCTCATCTCCATCAAAATGTTAATTTTATATCAGGAGGCTTAAAGGTTTTAATCAAGTCCGGTCACAACAACTTCCAATAGAGCGAAATTTGACAANTAAAGCTCACCTTCGAGGAAGTCCTCTTTGGAAATGAGGCTCTCGTTGTCCTTGCTGAATCCCGGCGCTCCGTACAGCAGGAAGTAGGAGCCCTCGTCTTGATTGACACCCAGCAGAATCTGGGTGTCTTTAAAATTGCCGGAGTTCAGCATGGCTTCCGGAGTGTCGGGCAGAACTTCCCCGTCCACCACTGGTACGAATGAGAACCGGAAAAGGGCTGACCATGGCAGAACCTGTCCGGAAGATTCGCATAAAACCCAAACAAGACGCGTTAGTTGGAAGAAACGTCTTCAGGAATCATTTTACTGAAATACAACTAAAAAAAACCTCGTATCTTTAGACCTTTGAGAAGAAGTTTAACCATAGGAGGTTTGCTTTACCAGCCATTCTTGGTCGATCAGCTCCTGAGGAGTTTTATTACGCAGACAGTCCACCAGCTCGGTGTCATTGCCTCCATTGCAGCCAACAAGCTTTGCCAGAACCGTGGCGCGTCTCCTGGCCTCCGCCGGGCTGACGGACGCCCAGGGACAGTTGGGGACTCCGCTTTGAAGGATGGCCCTTGTGAAAAACGGTCTGCTGTCTGGAGACAACAGGTGGAATCCGACCGAAGCACCACCGGCGCTCTCACCGAAAATGGTCACCTGTTTTACACGCAGAGACAAGAAGGGACCAATCAGGGCGACTATGGAAATACATTAATACCAATGAAGAGACAATAAACATCACTGAGAAAAATAACCACCTGTTTGGGGTTTCCACCAAAAAAATGGATGTTTTCTTGCACCCACTGAAGCGCCAGCCTCTGGTCAAGCAGGCCAACGTTTCCAGGAGCCTCTGAGGAGCCGTGAAGGGCCAGGAAACCGAAGGCCCCGATGCGGTAGTTCATGGAGACCACGATGACCGTCTCAGTGTGGGCGAGGTAACGACCGTCGTACACATCCAGTGAAGAGGAGCCACTGTAGAACCCTGCAGGGGAAAGCCAGGAAGCTAAGAATCAGCCTGCATGTGCACTGGAAAACAAAATGGTTGCAGAAGTTCCAAAATAATTAAGGCTGTTATCTAACTGGATTGGAGAAGCTGGCGTTAGCATTGGATAGGCTGGCGTTAGCATTGGAGAGGCTGGCGTTAGCATTGGATAGGCTGGTGTAAGCATTGATAGGCTGGCATTAGCGTTGGATAGGCTAGCGTTAGCATTGATAGGCTGGCATTAGCATTGATTAGGCTGGCATTAGCGTTGGATAGGCTAGCATTAGCATTGGATAGGCTAGCGTTAGCATTGATAGACTGGCATTAGCATTGATTAGGCTGGCATTAGCGTTGGATAGGCTAGCATTAGCATTGGATAGGCTAGCGTTAGCATTGATAGACTGGCATTAGCATTGATTAGGCTGGCATTAGCGTTGGATAGG